AAAAAAAAAAAAAAAAAAAAAAAAAACAAATTGGGCAATAAAAATGAAGCTACAAGGTAGGCCAGAGCAGCTCTGTGATGAAGTATACAATAATTTAACCGACTATCCTCAAGAAATCAAACAATAACAAATGCTGGAGGGGCTGTGGGGAAAACAGAACCTTCTTCCGCAGTTCCTGGGAGTGTAAGCTGGTGTAACCACTGTGGAAATCAGTGTGGAGATTCCTCAAAAAACTAGGATTAGAGGTCCCATTCCATGCAGCTATTCCCCTTCTGGGTATTTTCCCAGAAGAATTAAAAATATCATACCACAGCGATATATGTGCACCCATGTTTACAGCAGAGGTTTTTAATAGGTAAATGGATGCAACTTGAGACCATATTCATAAGTGAAATAAATCAGACTTGCATGTACAAACATCATATTGTCTCTCTAGTGTAAGAAACTGAAAGAATAAATCAGACCCAAAATGTACAATAGATATTGTGAAACGGGAAGAAACTACTCAAAAGGAAAGAACAACTGGGATGGGGGAAAGGAGAAAAGAAGGGAAAGGAAAAAATATATATGCATACACACAAGATAGCTAAGATAATTATATTACTAATTTCTAGTAGTTCATTGAAAAGCACGGTTTGTGCTTATATTGTTTGATCAATTTTTCATGCCTATATCTGAGCAACTACTTTGAAGATAACAATACACATTATATTAACCAGTGTTAATCTCCTATTATCTTGTTTTGAAATTCTGTATCATTTTTTTCTTTAAAATATCCTATAAGAAATAATTTAACCTATAACTAGTAATAGTTAACACAGTACAACATGCTTTAAAATCTCAGTTTATACTTTATCTTCATTGTAGCCTCAAGAAATCATTCTAATTTTAAGTGGAGACTTGTCAACATTTCTTATTGAGACGTGAAGCGAGGCCATGTATTTGTATCTTAAAAGCAGAGTCAGATTTTGTATTCTTACTCACTTGAATGAATACTGAAGGAGAGGGCCCTAGCCAAATAAAAGTTCAGCATTAAAAATAGCTGGCTATTTTCTCAAAACTGCCAGCTAGGCAGAAAGATTCTTAAATGACACTTCAGGTCAGCAAGAAAGATGATCCAAAGAATGAACAAAAATAGCCTCTGTTCAACAGCTGTTAATATCTATAATTAATAAGTGGTGATCATCTCATTAGCTGGTCCTGGGTGTAGGCAAGAAAGAATGTGTTTGTCACTTTTGCATATAGCACTTATCGGAAAACAAAGTTTGTTACATCTTTTTTTTTCCTGATTAATACATTTCTCTTTACACAGAAAGTGTGATTTGTGAGACTTCATGTTTGAAGACTGCGACCTTGAAACTCTATTGGCAAGCAAGGTGCTATAAATGTTTGACTAATCCTTAAGAATTATTATTCCCGAAGAGCAAATCTTTTTTTTTCTTTTTTAACTGTTTGCTGTTGTTCAACTGTTCACTCGGGCTGGAGATGTAGCTCAGGGGTAGAGCACTTGTGTAGTACATGCAAGGCCCTTGGTTCATTCTCCAGCACTGAAAAAAGAAAAAGTTATTTTTCATTGACAAAAACTGTACGTATTTACTGTTGACACAGCATGTCGTTTGGAAATACGTGTACTTCGAGGAATGGCTACATGGAGCTAACTAACGCATGCATTAGTTCACAGAATTTTTTCGTAGTGCAAAGCAAGTAATTTTTAGGCACTGAAAGGCCAACACTAGGAGAGGACACTAAAGGAAGCGAGGACAGAAGAAAAAGGCGGGGAGGGGGACGAGAGGAACTTCACCAAACCCGGGGTCTCTGCTGCTCTGCCTGGCAGCAGGGCTGCCCGTGCTCCCGCGGGCTCCACCCGCATCTCCCCACCCGCGCCTCTCTGCGCCTCCGTCCCCTCGCTCCACGCCCGGCGGGTCGGCGGCGTGCGCGGCGCGTGTGCAGGCTGCGCCGAGCGGCACGGCTGGCTGCGGGAGCTGCGGGTCGGCGGGACCCCCGCGCTCCGGGGAGAGGTTCCCCCGCCCTGGGGCGCCCAGGCCCGCGCTCCAGGCCCGCGGCGCCGCTTCAGCTTGGGCTCCCACTCGCTCCAGCCCTCGGTACCCGGCGCTGCCCTCAGCCCTGCGCACCTCCCGCGGTTTTTCCTAGGGATGACCTCTCCCCTCAGCCCTCCGCGGGCCACGGCCGCCCACAGCTACTGGCACAAGAGTAGGACCCCCGTAAGCAGCCGCCACCGCCTCCGCCACCGACTACCCGCTCGGCCGAAGCCCCGCCCGCCAAACTGCCCCGCCCAAGACCCCGCCCAGCTGCTCGCCTAGCCCCGCCCCTGCCCTCCTCTGCCCTCCTCACCTCCAGCTCCGCGGCAAGGCTTCCTTCGCTCCAGCCCGCACCACGCCCCGCTCTCCACCGCCGGTCTTGACGCCCCTCCGGCCCAGGGCTCCGCCCACTCGCCCGCGCCCCGCCCACATCCCAGCGCCCGCTGCAGTGTGGGTAGGCGGCGGCGGCGGCGGCGCGGCTGAGGGCTCCGGAGCGAGCCTGCGCGCCGAAGATGGCTGAGAAGCAGAAGCACGACGGGCGGGTGAAGATCGGGCACTATGTGCTGGGGGACACGCTGGGCGTCGGCACCTTCGGCAAAGTGAAGAGTTGAGTGCGCGGTGGCTTGGGCGCGCGGGGCGGGCAGGTGCGGGGCGGGGGCAGCCACACCTCCGCGTGCTCCGCTCCGCGGCTAGGGCCGGGCGGGGCAGCGCGGGATCTGACGCGGCCTCGCCTTCCCGTGGAGGGCGGGGACGGGCCCTGGAGGTTACGCGCCCAAGGTCACGGACGCCGGCGGTCCGCAGGAGGCAGAGCCGTCCTCAGCCGTGGCCGGCTGGCGGGTCCAGGCTGTCCCCGCCTCCTCGCGGGTAGACTAAGTGGGCTGCTCCGGGCCGGGCGCGAGGCGTGGGCCGTCTGCGCCCCCGACCCGGTGGGCGCAGGTGCACCCAGCAGGTGTGTGGGAAGGCTTCTCGGAGGACGAAGGGCAAACCTTCCCCGGTGTGTGGGAGGTCTTGGGGCCCAGCAGCCAGAACCACGGAGACATGTTCTGGCGAGGTCTGCTTTCTTTGGAGATGGGATCTCATTTTGGATGTGGAAACCCAATTTCCTTTGGAAATTTTACACGGTACTCCTTAGTAGTTCAGTGTTAACCTTTCCTTTGTTATTTGTTTATGAGAGTACCATCGGGTTTAATAACTTGCCCTCTCTCCAGAGCTAGAGCTGGCTCATTAAAAATACTGTTACAAACCTAGTATCTAAGTGAAACACTGCCCCCCCCCACCGCCCTGCCGCTGGTAAATGCTGGATGGACAGCCTGGAGATTTTATTCCGAGGTGTTTCTTGTAAAACTCATGTTTTAACCTTAAGTGAAGACTTGAAGATGTAAGAAACTCATTGTTCATTCCTGTGGTAAGGATCGGCTCCTGCGTTCTAACAAACATTCAGTTTACTGAAAACACTCAGCACTTATATCAGGCTAGGCATAGTTGAAGACAGCGCGGATACTGCAAAGAACAGACCTTGATCTTTCATGAAGCTTGCTTTCTTGTAGAAGACAATCAGTCAGAATTTATTCATAAAATTTATGTTTCAGGGTATTCAAAAAGGGAATGAAGGACGGGAGTACAGAGACATGTGAGGTTGGCAAGTTTTAACAAGGTGGTCGGACAGGGCCTCACAAAGTGGTATTTGTGTAAAGACCTAAAAAGTTGGTAAAATTTTGTGAAGCCTTGTGAAATTTGTGAAGTTGTGAAATAGTTTTGAGAGCTCATATAAAAAGAATGGATAATTAGAATGTTTAGAACAAATGTAAAAGTAGGGATTACAATAATGCCCGTAACACTGTCATTTCAAATCACTGCTGAGGACCAATGTGTTACATTATACAGTTATGCAAGCAAATAATGTCTTTGACATATGGAAATGTATTCTCTTCAAGTTATATAATTTAACCATATGTCTTTTCAAATTGTGTTAAACGTTTTTGCAGGACTTAAAAATTCTACCATAGTCTGAATGCAGAATACAGTAGTCATCAGAACAAGTAGCCATTGTCAAAGGACAACTGTAGAGCTGCTTCCAGGCACTGGCTTCTTCAAATATAAGCTAATAGAAAGAACTTCAATTTATGAGAAGTCCATTTCTTGGAGAATCTCTGTCCAGTGGGTGGCCAGGTGGAGGAATATTCCTAATGCTGTTAGATTTTCTTTAAAGAGGTACTGTGGTTTCTTACCCAAGACAAGAGTCAGTGCAGTTGCTTTTAAATATATATTATAGAAATTGTTATAATCTCAAATTACTTAAGGAACCAGTGAAACACAAGCATATACATTTTTAAAAACAGCATTATTGAGTTACATTTTACATACCATAAATTTATCCATTCTAAGTATACAATTCAACAGGTTTGAATAACTTTACCAAGTGCTGTATCCGTCATTGTGGATCAGTTGTAGAACACCACAGAAAGAGTGCTCAACACCGCAGAAAGAGTGCTTTACAGTTCATTCCATCCCCATCCTTGGTCTCAGGAAACCGTTAATCTATTTTCTGTTTTCATAAGTTTGATTTTCTGGACAGTTCATATAATTGTGGTATTCAGTATGGAATCTCTCATTTCTGGCTTATTTGATAGTACTTTGGGGTTCTTGTATAATATAGCATGTGCCATTAGTTTGTTCTTTTTATTGTTGGATAATATTCCAACGTGGAATATGCCACATTTTGTGGATATGCCACGTTTTGTCTGTGCATTCACTAGTTAATGGACATAGTTTTACGTTTTGGGGTACTACAGATAGTGCCACCATGAGTATCCACGTGCAGACCTGTGTGGACACGTTTTTCCTTTTTTCCAGTTATAAATATTTTTAAAAATTGTTGTTAGTACATGTGACACATGCTTTCCTATATCTTGGGTAGACATTAGGAGTAGAATTGCTAAGTCCTATTTCAGCTTTATGTTTAACTTTTTGAGAGACTGTCAGACTGTTTTCTAAAATGGTTACATGCTTTTACTGTCTGTCCTGCAATTCATGGAAGTTCTCTCTTCTCCATTTTCTAAATCAACATTTGGTATTTTGTCTGCCCTCCTAAGAGTGGATTGTTAAAAGTGAGTCTGTGCTTCATGTTTTGTCTCTTTGCCATGTGTGAGTTTGCCCTTCTGCTTTTCTGTCTTGAGATGAAGCAGTGTGAGGTCCTCACCAGAAGCTACACAGATGCAGCACTGTGTTCTTGGACTTTGCAGCCTCCAGAACCAGGAGCCAAAATAAATGTCTTTCAAATAGCAATTATTCTGCCTTGGTGAAACCTCACTGGCTACAATACTGCTGCTGAGCAAAGCTAATAGAAACAGTTTTCTACTATAAATTAACCTAATCTCAGGTATTCTCATCTAGGAACAGAAAATGGACTAAGGTTGTTATAAAATGAGTTAAAAGAATTTGTTTTGTAGAGTCTACATACAAGTCCTTTATTAGTTATGTTCTGTAAATATTTTTCCCCATAATTTTTCATTTTCTTGTTGATGTCTTTTGAAGTATAAAACCTTCAAATTTTCATGAAGTCTTATTTATTTTTTTAATGGGCCATGCTTTTGGTGCTATAGATAAGAAACCCTTGCCTACCCCAAGTTCTCAAAGCTTTATGGTTTATTTTTTTCTTGTAAGTAGTGTTTTACTGTTTTAGCTCATTTAAACTAAATTTAATTACATTTTCAGTTAATTGTGGTGAAGATGAACTTAAAGGTCATCTTTGTCCATGTGAAAATATATGCATTTTTATTTATTAGATTTTGTACAATTTCTACTAAAAAGTTTATTAGTAGATTACTTAATTTTATAGGGCTATAACATGGAAATGGAGGTGTGAGGAACATTTTATGTGCTTTTTCCTCAACTCCTGTATTAATTGCAGGTTTAACTTAGATTTCACTAGTTTTTTAAAAAAGGTATATTGTTAAAAATATACCTTTAGAAGTTAAAAAAAATTACAGCATTATTTAAAATGTTCTAAGTTGAATTTTCTCCTTTGGTCTGTCCATTGTTAAGGTTATAAGGGAATGCTGTGGAAACATTATGTGGGCTGATGAAGTTTATTTATTTATTTATTTATTTTGGTACGGGAAATCAAACTGATGACCTCATGCTTGCCAGGCAGGCACCGTGCAGCTGATCTATATCCCCAGCACCAGCCTGACAAAGTTTAAGTCTACTTTTTATCTACTTAAAGACTTTCCCTGAACTGGATGTGCACATCTGTAAATTTAGCACTTTGGAGGCTGAGGCAAGAGGATCACAAGTTTGAGCCCAGCCTAGGCAGCTTAGTGATTTTTTACAGAGAACCCTTCTCAAAATAAAAAAATAAAAAGGAGTGGTTTGTAGTTCAGTGTGAAGACCCAGAGTTTAATCCCCAGTTTCAAATTATTTATTTTCTTTTTCCCTAAATTGATCAGTTTCTCACTTTCTCTAGGTAGAGTGGAACTGCTGTTTCAAACTCTTAGACTTGTTCAGATCTTACTTAACTTACTCAAGGTGATAGAAAATCTAGAACAACAGATCTATTGTTTGTGTTATACAAAGAATAGTTGTAGAAAAAATTATATTTATAATATAAGGCCAATTCATTTAAAAAGAAGTTTTCATTTTCAGGGTGAGGGCTGATAGATGTGATTTATGAAATAATTATTCTTTTCAGAATTTTACCCCAAGGGATACTTTACACCCACAGTTGCCTCTTTCTAGCCAGCAGAGTTTCACCAAGGATATTAGATTTTCTGTTTTTCACATAGTTATGTGAATGAATTACAGACTTGGCTTTTAGAAATTAAGTAAATACTTCACTAATTCTCCATGTATTTTTGAGATAGAAAAGATAAACAAGTGGAAAACTTAAAACATTTGCTTTTTTGAACAAGCAACTTGCCTTTTTTGGAAATACTAAATCCTGAATGATAAAAAGAAGTTTTGGACAACTCTGACCAGTTGGTGGAAGTGAAAGTGGTACCGGTAGTTACATTGTTCTTCACCCAGATTTGTTTTTGATTTCCTTGCTAGTGTGAAGGCCCAACAGTTTCACTCCATTGGGCCTTTTGTGGTCTTCCTCTCTTAAAGGACAACACTAGAACACACAACTTAAAAGGTCCTGCATGACTTCATTAAGCCGACTTTGTTTCAAAGATTTAGTTCCAAAAATTGCATGTAATTAATTGTTCATTCTGGTTTAGTGGGAATTTGAGTTACCCAAGACCAGAGCTAAAATGTAGGTGGTAATGTGGAGTGAAAGAGAAACACATTTTTGATAATTTAGTGATAAAAGCTGTGGTTTAAGTTTTTACTCTATTATATGCACTTGATTTTATTTTAATAATTAGTTATTTCCCAGAGTAATTCTCTGAGTTTAGCATTGTCTCACCTAACAAATGAAGAAATTAATCAGATATTTAAGTAACTTGCTCAAGATCACTGTGCTAGTAAGTGACAAAGCTAGCAATCAGTTTCAATGTCTTTATTAAAACACAATATCCTTTTTGGCTAAGTCATCCCATGATATTTGTGAGGGATGGGTTACTAACATAAAATGGCATTTTATTTACATATAACTTGCATATATT